TAAGCCATCTTGAACTCAGCACTTCTGAACTGATGCTGGTACCCGCAGCACACAGCTACCTTGGAGCAGGAGCGTTCTCCGGTGTTGTCAGTTGACTTCCAGAATCCCAGGAGTGCTTTTGCTTTTCATTGAGGTTAGCTGTGTGTTTCTCCTGCACCCAAATCTCTCCACTTTCTCAAGAGGATAGGACACAAGTGTTTCGGCTGCATTCTTGCTGTAGCTGTACCATGTTTCTAGATAAAAGGTTGTATCGTGTTTTACTATTTTCTTTAATCGTTTTAGGATTGCTATAGTGTCTTTGAAAAGTTGCTACTACATTTTCAAGCCCTGTCACCCAGCTTCTTGTAGTAAAGAGAAGTCTGGCTGGGCTGGGCTCTGATTTCTTAACAGGAAAATAGGAGGAAAATCAGCCTGGGCTTTGTTCATGTCTATATGCTTATACAGGAAAACGTAAATATATATCTTACATTTATATTTTAAAAGACGAAGATTGACTATTCATTTGCATATATCAAGTCCTTAACAGCAGACTATAGGCACACTTTTGAGGAGCTGACACTGTACAGGTGATAGGGTGGGGAGGAAAGATGACTTTGGCAACCTAGTGTTCCGATATCTGAAATCTTTCCCTTGTTCTGTGTAAGTCTTGCTCCCTCCTCCCTCCCTCCCTCTCTCTCTCTCAAAATTTTATTTTTATGTCAGCCCTTACTTGCTCTAAAACCTCACTTTTTTAGGAAAGGATAGGAAAATGATAGTTCAGTCTCCATAGTGTTGTGGGTGATCTCATTTACTCTTGTTTTTAAAAAGAAGGGCTAATTTGAAATGCTGCTAGCACGCTGTATGTAGAAGTCAACTGCAGATATGATTACTCTCGATAATGAGAGGCTTACGTTACAGGGAGTGATCCAAAGTGGTGAGAGCTTTTTACTGCTCCTGTAATAGTTAACACTGTTTTCTGCTTCCCAAAACACAGAGTAAGGTAGTATCTGGCTGAAATTCCATTTACTTGAGGCTTTTCTGTCAGTCGCTTTGCTGTGGGGTTTTGTTCTGTATAAATCACATTGTAGGTGAGAAATACATATTGCTGCAGTTAACTTCTCTGGTTTTTTTGGAGGAGCAGGATGGGCTGTTTTTAGCAGTGATGACCTTGCAGGGGCAGACTTCTAGTTCTTCCATTTGGAAATTTGTTTTGTGATTTACAGAACAGTTTTAAGAGTATTAAAATGGAATGTTGCTGATTGGATTTTTCATTAATTTGTTAATAAATGTGTATCTCATTCATTAATCCAGACAAAAGAGGTATTACCCACTCTCTGAATATCAAACAGGCAAGTATAATTTAATAGAACTCTAGGATTTTCAGCTGCGATGTTCACAACCTAAGCCGCTATCTCAAGCTTCTAACTCTGTTATTCTTCTGGAAAGCAGAAGGGAGGAAAAGGATCTGGTTTTACCGCTAGAAACTGTTCTCTGTGCTTGCTATTTGAATGACAAGTGTCTTTGTTCAGGGGACAGGAAAAGGAGGATTTTGCCTGGTGTGGTACCATAAACACATTAAATATGAATCATCTTCTAGACTCTTGAAATGCATGAGGGTGTCATGCTGAGAAATGTCATTGTAAGCTGTGCCTGGAGACTTCTTATATGAAATAAATGCGCCTGAAGCTTTAATAATGCCTTCTACACAATATTTTTAAGCTCCAGTTGCAAGGAGGGATGCTTGATTCTTTTCAGTTGGTTCTTAAAGGTTGAACAATTTTTTTGTGTTGGTCAAGACACATTGAACAAGTGCTTCAGATGTTTAAAATTCACACTGCTAATTTAAGTCCTTTCTCAAAGGTGTCTTTCTAGTTGGTAGGCCAACACCTTATTCTTATCTTTTGGGGATGATTCAGGAGTATTTTCGACGACATACTTTAAACAAGTGTTGCATTTTCATCTTTTTATCTCCAGTAACAGGAATGCTCAAACCTTCTGAACCCCACTGAGGAAAACTGTTAGAGAAACTTGCTTCTCTGCTTATCATCCGTTCGTTCTTTCTGTAGCAGATCTTGGAATGAGCTGCTTCAGCTTGTTGATGATCTCTTAAGCTGCTCTCCATTTTCCACAGAGGCGAATATGTATCTTCCCATATTTTTTGTGTTGCTCCCCAGGACAGTATTTCCTGCA